AAAAAAAAAGCCCAACATTTTTCTGTAATCGACACAATTTACATAATCTCCGAGGCATTTTTCGACTCTGCATATCAGATGAGGGGCTAATCCGGTCTGAGAGAAACACAACGACCCAGCATAAAGACCGAGATAAGCCGTCTCTCCACTCCGCTCACAGGAATTGAACTCGGGTCATCTGCAGGTCTCCAACTCAAATAAACCAAGGGGCTTCTGGGGGTAGAGTCTGTATGAACCTTGACCGCGTCACATATTCCACACAAATCAGGTTTCAAGTGTTTCAATGATTACTACTTATCTAATCTTCTCCAACTTAATCAATAGCAGTTCTCAACATGAAAAGTTCTTCAGAACATTGGCTTCTTTTTACCTACTTTTTTCAACTCACACTTCGGCTAAAAGGTCCATGCGCGAAAAACATTCTGATAGTGTATTATCACCAAACTATGAGGTCAATTAGGGACCACAAAAAAACGTTCTCGGGGCATGAATTTACCCGCGGACCGAAAGTTTGAGAGACCACTGCTTTACACCGTGACAGAACAATGCTTCAATAGTACTAACACGAATTGCCAACTAATAATAATAGATAGCATTTGTATAGCGCAAGTCCTCACTCATCAGCAAGCTTCTAAACTATAACCCAAGCAGACCTGAGAGCATTATGAAGCAATCTCAACTTCCTGGGAAGCATACAGTGCCAGCAGCCATTTATAGGCGCTAAATCACTAATATACTGACACGATCTTTTGCTGTCATTGGCTGAGTACCCATTCCGAAGTGGGTGAAGTGAGGAAAATTTGAGTAAAGTGCCTTTCCCAAGGACACAACATCGAGCCCGCGGCTCGAACCCCCGAACCTGCAACTTCACGATAACGAGTCCGGTAGCCTAACTACTAGGCCACCGCAAGTGACGTCCGTCAGTCTACAAACCTTGAAGAAGGCAATGATGTTGTTTATGCCTATTCTGTAGCCCAGCAACATGCCTACGTTGCGGCAATCCGAAGGGTCGATTCCCATGAGGAGGGCAACGGGATACAGGACATATGAAGAAATGAGCTGAGGAAAAAGAAAAAGTTGAGAATTATGATTGTATTGTTTGAGCCGTCATAATATATTGTGCCAGTCTATGTTGCCAGTACCACTCTAAACTGGCAATCTCTGTTTTTATGTCACTTCTGAATAATGCGGTAAAGAATCTTTGTATTTCATGTAAAGACATGAGGATAACAACTCGTATGTGGACAAAACAAGGAATATTGAGGAGTGCTTCAGAATATCGGAATAACCGACTGCTTTTAAAAAAAATGTAGATTGCTTTCCCCGTCGTCGACACAGTTTAGATCATTAAGGAGGTGGGATTCAACACAGCCTGTCAATGCCAAGCCAAGGTCAGAAGGATACAACGTCCCACCAGAAAGGCCAAGATGATGTCAAAAATTCTCCCCTTACGGGAATCGAACTCGGGTCTTGTGCAATCGACTGAAAAACACTTACCCGCTACACCACAGACGTCCGTCCTATTGTAGTGAGGCAACATCGACGTCCTTGGTTTTTGTTAACTTATGTCCTCTGATCTGTCTGTCTGTTTATTTGTGTATGATAATACAGCCGATCCTGCTCTTACGGCCACCTATCATAGGCAATCACCTGTCCAAGTGACAAATGCCCCCCCCCCACCACCCTCCCAGTCCCACACGCACCCTTTGCATTTTCCATGTAGTATCATAATGACACTATCCAAAACGTCCCCCTGTCTAAGAAAACCACTGTCCTCTCCGACTACAAATGGATGCTCTTCTTGAGCAGGTTCCAGTATCATAACTATTGTGTGTGTGTGTGTGTGTGTGTGGCTCTTTTAGCCTATGCAGACGGTAAATTTAGCTTAACATGGTCTCACTGTTGTCTTCATGCAGCTTCTTTCATGGCTGAATCTTCCTAATACATGTAATTCCTACGTTTGAAGTGCAGATTCTGTCGCAGTGCTTGCATGTCAGTGGGGTGAATCGAAGCTCTGCATTTCCGCTGTTTTCCTTTCATTACTACTGTAATTATCGTACTAACCTCAATTGTGAGTTTGCGAATCCCAACGCGGTCACCAATCCAAGAAAGGGTGTGGTTTATCCAAGAGATGGCGGTGAAAAAGGCAAAGCCAACCACAGCAACGTTGCCAACCAGTGCCAGCATGTTAGTCGCACCGGCTTGGGCGGCGTCCATCAGGCCCGTGTATTGCCTGGAACATGAAACCAAAACAAACTTAGATAGATAGATAGATAGATAGATAGATGGATAGATAGATAGATAGATAGATAGATAGATAGACTGCTTCTTTCATTGTCAGGATAAACACTTATTGAACACCCATAACATCATGACACCGGCCAAGACGCCCACATGTCTAAAAAAAACTGTGTGTCTCCTCCGTACTGGGTGACAATCTTGGACGATTTCGACGGTACACTCCTGATAGACTCAAACTCACCCCTTCAATAAAGATCCCACCAGTCACACCCATTGACTCGATGGGCGATATATAGATAAATAGAAATAGATAGATAGATAGATAGATAGATAGATAGATAGATAGATAGATAGATAGATA